TTAATATTCGTATAGAAATAATTTTTTTTGTAACTTTACTAAATAAGTCACACTTTTTTAACTTCACAGGATAATTTAAGCACTTTGGTCAAAGTCAATCACCTTTTATCTATAAGTGAAAGTTATTCAACAAGTTCGATACTATTTATATCTAATGTTTTATATTGACTAGATTAATATATTTGTGTAGAAATATTTTTTTTTGTAACTTTACTAAATAAGTTACACTTTTTTAATTCACAAGGAAATTTGAACACTTTGGTCAAAGTCAATTACTTTTTATTTCTAAGTGAAAGTTGTTCAGCAGGAGCGATAATATTTGCATATAAAATTTAATCTCGATTTGATTAATATTCGTGTTGTAATATGTGTTTTTGTAACTTTATTAATATTGTGAATCTTTTTTTTTTTAACTTCATAGGATAATTTGATCACTTTGGTTAAAGTTTATCTCTTACTGCGTAATAAGTAAAAATATTCTATATATCCGAATCTATATACATATAAATTTTTGTCTTACGTGATTTAATATTAATTGAGTAATAGTAACTGTATTAATTCTCAAATTTTTTTGTTTTTTTTTGAATATTATATTTGTGTAATTTATTAAATACTGTATAAATATAATGTATATCGCGAATTACCACACTTTATAAAAGAAAAAAGTATCAATTAAAAGTATTTAAAAGTTTTTATTTTGTTTTAATATAATTAATTTTCTTTAAATTTAAAAAAAATTTTTTTTATTGATCTTTATTGTATTTTTAAAATTACATAAAACAGTAATTTATATAATAATTAAATATTACAATTACAGTTTTTCATATAGAATTTTATTATTTTTCAAATGTGCTTTTTAATTATAATAGTTAATGATAAATTTAAAAATTTTTATTAAAAGTAAAATTCATTTTGAATTTCATAAAATATGTGCAAAAAATACTTTTATCTGTTATATATTTTTGAAATTTGAATATTATATGTAATTTTGTTTGTTTTACAACTTTATTTAATCATAAAAAGTAGTTTTTAAATGCTGATTTTGAGTTTAATATAAAGAAACTATAAATTTTACTTAATATATATAAATCACAAAATAGTTTGCTTAGCAGAGTTAAATTTTTTAAGTCATAATGAAAGTTTGCTTAGCAGAGTTGAAAATAATTTGCTTATTGATCATAGTAAATTTTGAAATTTTCATCTGACCTATACATAAATTGTTTGGAGTCCTCTATAATCTTTCACAATATTCATTGATTTCTGCATTATACTTAAGAGTGCTATATAGCATTTTTTTAAATTCCTCATAACTCACTTTTTTTTAATACATAATTATCCTCACTTAAGTCCTGCAGGTCTTGAGAAACTTTGTTCAGAGTTGGCAGATTATTACATTCAAGAGTAGTAGTCGCATAATTCACCTCGAGCTTATTTTTGATTTTGTATATAGTGATAGGAATAATATAATCTTTTCTATTGAAAGGAATCTTTAGCTCATTTATATTCCAGTCTACTGTGCATCCATATTTCTTTAAGAGTTAGTTAGAAAATATTAGCGTTAGTTTGTGATAATCTACAACTAGAAAACCGTCATAAATAGTAACTATATATAATAGATGTGGCTTAGAATCATGCAGATAACTACCGTAGAACAATTTTAGTCAAAGTCATGTGAAAGCAAGATTTAAGAAAGTCTAAAAATTGCATTATGTCTATTTTAAAGAAAATACTACGTCATTACTGCGTTGAATAGTATATTTTACTAGTAAATCTGAAAAAATACCAAATCAATACTATGACATTATCACAAAATTACATAATACTATTCTTAGTAATATTTATACTTTATATTCAAAAGAAACAAATCACGTATTTTCTGAGACTGCGCGATCTTACAAATTTGTTAAGAAAATTTTTATTAATCGATATACTTGCTTTATTAATAATATAACTTATTAAAAATATATGTATTGAATCTTTATTCTATGAATTTTTGAGAATCGAAACTGTTACTACTATTTTACTAGAACTATACTCACTATTCTCAGAGTCAGGACTATATAATATTTTATGAATTGTACAGGTTACAGCAGGACCTCGGATAATTATAATAGAGGTCACATCTGCAATACTAATTAAAAATCCAATGAAATATACATAATTTTTGACGTTTTAATATACATTTTTATCATATGACTTTTATATGTATTAAAAATATCCTTTTTTATCATATGACTTCAATATCAGAAAACTTTATTTCATATTAAATTTATTCAGATGACTTTGTAATAATAATCAATTGTAATTTATCTATAACTAAATTAAAAAAATTATATATTGTCATTTCTTTTTTCCCTACAATTAAAAATCTCATATTTTCAGTAAAATTTTCATAATTTCCTAAATAATAAATGATCAAATGACTTGGAATATGTGAAAACAAAGCATATTTTGATTTTTTCATCAGAAAACATCCAAAAATATTTGAAATTTACTCTGTATAAACACATGCTGAAATGTAAGAAAGTGAATCAATACAACTAGTATTATCAATATAAGAATGATAATTTGATAATTTATAATGCATAGCCAAAATTTGAATAAGATAAACTTTTGATCCTAAAAGTGCAAATGCGTAACCATCACATTTGGCGGGATTTTCCAAAGTAACATTTGTAACGCTAATGTTTGACAAAGCTAAATAAATTATAAATTAATAAGCTTATTATCATTTATAATTTATAAATTTTAAAATAATAATCAATAATTTTACCTGGAACATTTTGATGTTTTTCTAATATTTCTAACCATTTTCTATTTTGCTTTATTCTTAACATTCCAGATTTTGCGCCATCATTTTGAGCCAAAGCAACTATATTATTAATTTTATTAAAACTCAGAGTCAAATTACGCGTCATGTAAATCCTTTCCATTCTTTGACTAGTATAAGCTTCATGTTTGTGACGTTGTGATATTAAATATAAAATATCCAATTCTCCTGATGATAAAACACCCGTTTGAAATATTTCATCACTCTTTTAAATAATCTTTTTATCTGATCGATTATATATATAATCTATTCCTATTTGACTCTGTTCTAAATCATCAGTTTCTTCCAAATTGAAAACATCATATGTGCTAACCAACTCTGCAGCCTTACAAATTTCATCTAATTCACAATCAGCTTTATCAATTTCTTTAATTTCTTCTAATTCATCATTATCCTGATTTAAATCAACATCTTTTAAATCATTTTCATAAGCTGATATATGTGTAATAAAAGTTCTACTATAAAAAAGATTTTTATATTCAACAAATTTAAGAATTTTGGCAAATGCAATTGCTTGTTCATGGGCTTCATGAATAATCAAATGTATTTCATCATTTGTAAGATACGTTGTTAAAATATGAATATTATCAGCTATAATATCTTTATAATAGTTCATTATATAACCTAATATAAATGAATAAATGAATAATAAGATATAAGTAAAGTTTAAAAATATAAAAGCTAAATTATTATCACCTTCAGCTGAAGTTTTTTTAACATTCATCTTTGCTAATGATGCATTAGTATGAGTTCGAAACATATGCATAATTTTTGGAATATTTTGTACTAAATCTCCAAAAGTAAAATCATTACGCAATTGTCGGCTTAAACCAAAAAAATGTTCACATGGTTCAGATCCGTGAATCCATGTACATAATGGAACTGATGGATAATAATCTCAATATATTATTATTAATAAAATCTATAAAAAATAATTAAAATCAGTATATTTAGTATTATATAATAAATATTATCGCTAGATACTTACTAATGATTCTGCCAAACTGATAAATATTTTAAAAGTTTGAGGTGCAAGAAAATTTTTTTTTATATTTATAATATTTGGATAATATTTTTGAATATGTTCGATGTGATTTTTCCACATATAAAGAAAAAAATAAACTGACATCATCATTCGCAATCTTTCTTTATGTGAAATCGTATGACTTTGATATACATCGATTAATTTACCTAAAAATGTAAATTTTAATTAAGATTATAAATAATTATAAATATAAATAAATATGTAATAAATATAATAAATATTTACCAATTATAAAAAGATAGATAAATAAACTATCTTTATTGTAATTTTTTAGCTTATTTTGATCATATATTTGTTCCAAAAATAAAGAGCAAAAAATCTGGTATGCTGCGCCATCATCTTGACGGTCAGCATTTTCAACATCACGTTTATATAATACGCTATTAGGCATTTTACTAAGCTTGAGTATTTGATCATATCTCGCAGTTCCAGTTCCTAATATAAGCAATTGAGCACCAGAAAATAATGCATTTCTACCACTTATTTTCCATGTTTTGAATCTTGAATACGAATAATTGGACTGATATTAGGGAAAACTGGACATGTAAACTTAATATTATATAATTTATCTTCAAAGACAATTTTTCTGCAGTTGATGTATTAATTAGCATTGACTGTGAATTAAATTCATTTGCTGCTCCATCCGATCCAAAAGAAACAATATTAATTTTTAATTGTGCCGCATATTCTAGAACTTTTTGATGATATATAAGAATGTCATCGGCTTTTTCTTTATTATTATTTGGAATTAAACCAATAACTATCGGAGGGATTTTAGGTAAAGGAATCTAAAATAAAAGATAAAAAATAATAATTAATATTAATTTAAAATTATAATTAATTAAAATATTAATTAATAATAAATACTTGAAGTAAGTAAACTCGAACTTGTTTTGCTATAGCTTTTTTGATCTTTATCATATCAATAATTGCAATAATTTCCTCATAATTTGATGCTTTTGTTTCTGATGTTGGTAAAATTGATCTAATAATACAACAATAAGTTACTGAATAACTAAGACGTTCTTTTAATTTTGTGTTATCAGTCATAGCCACGACAGGACCATTGTAATTTAATAAATTGGCAAATCTTTTAAATCGCATCATATTTTCATAATAGAGTTCTGTATTAATGATCGCTTCATCTGATTTTACATGATGTAGTCTTATAATAAAATATAATTAGATAATAATTTAAATTAAATTAATATTATATTTGCAAAAATGAACATTACCTAATATTACGAAGTACAGTAGCGGTCATAAGTATCCGACCACCCAAGATCGTCCAAAATTATTATATAACTACCCCTTAAATTTTCCAGAAATATAATATAACACAATACATGATCAC